TAGCTAGTTCCTGTCACTTTTTACCTTACATTAGTTGAGGGATTTCAAGATAGTTTGTAAAACGCAGAGATCCTTTCAAATCATGATTCCTTATAAGTAAATTCTGTACTTAAATCACACGTCAGCCTTAGGAGCAGTTAGGTTGACATCCTCTTTCTGGAGGATCATCTGCAGAGGCTCTGGCATCCCTACCTTTGATGGCTGACTCAGTTCAGTGCCCCTGTGCTGCCTCCCAGGGAATGACCCTGGTATCCTCCTTAAATGGTCAGGAAAAAAAAATGGCCCATTTCCAGTGCGAGGCCACCCCCTCCTTCGATGAGCTGTGCTCTAACTGTGGAAATGACACTTGGGACAGCAGAGGAACGCTGGGATCCCCAGTGAGGGAGACTCCAGGGGATGCGGAAGCAGTTAGGGAAGATTCCTCCTAAGGAAGGGTTTGTGGTGGGCCTGGAAGTCTGGGCGACAGTCTCAGAGGACAGGGACGTAGGCTCCTCCGGCAGCGGGAGCAGCCCGAGCCGGCACGGAGGTGAGAGAGCTCGGTGCTGCAGACCTTCTCCAGCACCGTCTTCCAGCCCTTTGGGGTGGACACTGTTTTTTTGCCCTTTTACAAGTAATGAAACTGAGGCAGCGAGAGAAGTGGAGCCATTCGCAAGGTCTCCTACACAGGTGTGATGGCACCAGGCGTCCAGCAGTTTGGATTCTGAGCTGCCCACACGCTTCACGCCTGTGGACTAGGGGCTCAGCCGGCTTGTTTCCAAAGCCAGCAGACGGGCACTTGCTACTTCCTGCTGCCAAACCTGCATCCACATCCTCATTCTGATCCATAGTTACCCCTTCCCTCCGTTCTCCACATTTCAGTAGAACAGATGTCCCCCTGACATCCTTGTGTTCTGGATCCAACCAGCCTGCCTTTCCTTTATTTTCCTTCATTTCTTCCGTATCTGCAGCTCCCTGTTTCTCCTGTCTGTTGTCAGCATTAAACATACTCAGGTCTCTCTCATCTTTGAAAAAAAAGAAAAGAAAAAGCACTGTCATGACTGCCCTTGGGCATTGCCTGCGGCCACACCTTATCTCTCTGCCTCCTGCGGCCACACCTCCCCACCGCCTCGGGCTGCTCACTGCTCGTGTTTCCACCCCTCGTCCACATGAACGTGAACGGCCTTTGCCGAACCATTCTCCTTGCTGCTGAATCTGGCGGATGCTTGTCTTTCCTTATCTTTCTTGATCACTTGGGTCACCCCCGCTCAGAACACTCTGTCCCTTTGACTCTGATCCCTGGTTCCTAGGCTCTTGCTGGCTCCTCTCTCTCTCCCTTACAGGCTCCACTCTGTGGGGTAGTTTCTAGATTTCTTTCTGCTCTGCACGTTCCCCTTGGTGATCTCACCTGGTCTCCTCACCTCAGTTACCATCCGTAGGCGGACGGCTCGTGAATCCTTGTTCTCCTACAGGGACCCTAGGCTCCAGACCAGCATGTCTGGATGTCCACTGCATGCCTGCCTGTGGCTGTGTCTCCTAGGTTATCGCACAGCCTCCTATGCAGTCTCCTTCCTTCTCCTTAGATCCTTCGAGCCTGTTCTATCACTGTAGCCAGAGTAATCATGATAAAATGTCACTTGTGTCCCTTCACTGCTCTGAATGGTTCCCTCGGTGCCTTGAAGATCAGGCCCATACTCTTCATCGTGGCCTGCTAGCTTCTTGGTGGCCTGGCCCTGCCTGCCTGAGCTTCCCTGTCCACACTGTCCTGCCGCGGCCTCTGTTCATCTTTGTTCTCTGACTTCAAGCCGTCAGCCTAAGCTGTTGCCTCTGAGACCCTTCCCCTGCCCCCAGGTTCTCTGCTGCACCAGCCCTCTGCTTGCCCTTCCACAAAACTTGTCCAGGGATGTTACAGCTGCTTGCTTAGTGAGCATTCTCCATGAGGCCGTGCTCTTTAAGGACAAGGACCACATCTGTTCTGTCCTTTACTGGGGCTGTTCCCCTTGCTCTCAGCATAATTCCTGCCATCCAGCAGGTGCTCACAAGATTTTTATTTAAAATGAGTGATTAAGGAATGACAGAACTTTGTTAGGTACGAACGACGGAGGAGGCTCAAAGAGGACGCCCTGATTTCCGGGGTCAGAGACACCGTGCTCAGCTTGGGGTGCGTTGAATGTGATTTGTATGCCTGGGGCCGCCATCCTGCAGCATCTGGAGGGGCTCCCAGCATCAGGTAGCTGAAGCCCGGAGAGTAGAAGAGCCCACAGACAAGTGGACATCCCGAGGCTGGAGCTGAGAGCCACAGAGAGAGCTCTGCGGGGGAACCTGCGGTTAGGAGGAGAGAGCAGGGCCCGCAAACTCCGGCCAGTGGGCCCAGAGCCGCCTGGCTTTGTGAGCGCATTTTGCCAGCACTCAGCCAAGTCCATTTGTCTGCCGACTGCCTGGCTGCTTTCCAGCGGCAGTGGCAGAGGGGAGTAGTTGAGTCAGAGACCGAACGGCCTGGAAAGCCTGAAATATTTTCTCTCAGGCCCTTTGCAGAGCAGGTCGCCAGTCGTGAGTGATAGACCCCCTGTTCCAAGATCTCTACCCTAAAAGTTGTGGGTTCTTGGGATTCTGGGCCCAGGCACAGGGCTGGAGCCGTCCTGGTGCCCAGCTGTCAGCATGCCCTTCAGCAGCACACCCGGCCCATCCGTGGTACCTTCTGTGTTTCTGCCCTCTCCCTCCTCCAAGTCATCCATACACCAGAGGCAGGACGGGGTAAATATCCCCGAACCTTCTCTGCTTCTCTGGTCCTCTGAGTTCAAGACTTCCTTTGTGCTTTGAAGATTCCCAGTTACGTTTCTTTAACTTATCTGGTGGGGAGGGGCTGCCAGGAACAGAGGGGAGGCTGTGTCTGTAGAAACGAGTGCAGGAGTTGTCGAAAGTGACTCGTTGGAACTTCAGAGGGGGAACACAAGAAGCTGACTGTGAAATCTGATGCTTTTAGCTCCAAAGAACAGTGTTGTTAGTGTCCCCCGGATTTTAAGGCCGCTGCTGGAGGTGGGAAGTGGATGGAATTGGCTCCTAGCTGGTACCATGTGAAGCTGGGTTTGCTACTTGGGGTTATACCAGTCTGTCTTTTTTTTTTGAAAAAAAGGAGAAAATAGGAAAGGAGTTTATTACATTACCTTGCCATAGACAACAGTGGGCCACACAGATGAGAGGTGCCTGTGTGAGCCTGTCCATTTTTTTACATTTGAAAATTTTCAGAGCGGTTAATTAAGATACTCCTAGTCCTGCTTTGATGTGATGGCGACTGAGACCTGGGGCTGTGAGTTAGCCCTGGGTCCACGTCCTCACTCCGTGTCTCCATAACCCTGCGAGCTCAGGCCAGTTACTTCACTAAGCCTGATTCCTCATCTGGAAATTGGCAGTGACTGGACTGCTGACCTTCAAGTTGGGAGGATTAAATGAAATTAAAAAAATGTGACAGGCTTGGCACAGTGACCAGCGGGGAGTAAGTATTCAGTAAATATTCAGATCCTGCAGGTCTCATTCTGGAAGACAAGATGGGGTTTTAAAATAATGTCTTAACACTGCATAAAATTAGTTTTCACCACCCTTTTACAGGTTCACAGTGTATCAGGAAATAGGGCAGTGCTCATTATTTGAAGAGTAAATAAACTAATTCAGAGGTAGACAGCGAGGTTGACGGACCTGGGGCTGGAGTCCAGGCTGCTCTGTCTACTAAACGTCAGTGAGTAGGAGGCAGTCCCGTGTCCAGAGGAGAACCGTGTCGGAGACCCTCTGTGCGTGCTGGGCGACAGCAGGTGCTTAGCAGCCAGCTGTCTTTGAACTTGCATTTCTCTGTAGACGCACCGGGCGCAGTAGAGAGAACAGGACTTTGGGGTCAGACAGTTCTGCTTCTGCCAGCTAGTCATGCAGATTCCACAAGGGCGGGGTCTCCATGTGCACCTGGACCCTGAATTCCAGTGGGAGTCGGCATAGTTGAAATGACCAGTAGGATTTCAGAGCCCTGATGCACAGATCTTCCTTCTTCAAGTATATCATCATAAATAAGCTGCCTGATCTGCGAGGTTCCAGTGGTTCCAGTGCCCTCTCTGTGACCCCTCCACTCCTGCAGCCCCGGGGCAGCTCTGCTGCCTGTCCTCTTGGTCTTTTTTTCCCTTTTGGTAGTGGGGAGGTAATTAGGTTTATTTATTTCCTTTCAGAGGAGGTAGTGGGGATTGAACCCAGGACCTCAGGCATGCTACGCATGCGCTCTGCCACTTGAGCTACACCCTCCCCTTCATCTTGGTCTTGATTGCAGCAACTTAGATTTCTTTTTCCTCTCAATTCATGAGTGGCAGGTTAAAATTGTTTCCTTTTTGTGTATAAATGAGTCCCTACACTCACCAAGAGTGTTAGAACCTTCTAGAAGGCACCTGGTCCAAAGGTACTCATAGATGGCAGCCCCCTGCCCCCTGCACTGACTCGAGTGACCCGTGCTTCTAAATAGCTCCTCCCGCCGCGCTGGTTGAAGTTGGACGCCGGGGCCAGTCCCCAGCCTGCGAAGCGAGTCTGTGGACTCCAGGTGCGCAGAGCGCTGACGGGGTGGGAGCCGGGGGAGGGGGTGGCACAGAGGTCACGGAGACTTGGACCGTCAGCCCAGCCCGCCTTGCCGTCCTTGTCAGGTTATGTAGGGCTAAATCCCGTGCCAGGAAAAAGAAAAGGCCTAAATGAAAATATTATCTCCTAGTCTTTCTGTCTTGTCTTGAAGGTGCTTGACATCCTCCAGCACATCCAAACCCTAGACCCCGGGCAGCACGGGGCGGTGGGCTATCTGGTGCAGCACACGCTCGAGCACATTGAGCGTAAGAAGGAGGAGGTGGGCGTGGAGGTGAAGCTCCGCTCCCACGAGAAGCACAGAGATGTCTGCTACTCCATTGGGCTCATTATGAAACACAAGAGGTGAGTGTCCCCACGTCCACCCCGCCTCTGGCTGCAGAGGACACAGTGCTGTGAGCCCTGCTTCTCAGGAGCAGCCGGGACACGCCTGAAGGGGACCCGACCCGTTACAGCAAGGACCCAGGGCCGAACCGCATCCTGACCCTCTTCGTTTTTTAAGAAGCAACTCGCTCTCCTCACAGGGAGGTCCTCTCGTGTTTTCAGTGACCTTTTCTGTGGGAGGATGGAAGCGCTCCTTTCCCCTCTCCTCTGTTCATCGTCCCTCATCTCTTCCTCTAGTCCCGCTCCCCCTGGATCTGAGTGTGGGTAGGGGCTTGCTGGGCCGTGGGGGATGGGCCTGGCCGATTGACGAGGCAGAATTAAACCGCCTCCAAAGCAGCTGTACTGATTTACACCGCACCAGCAGGGGAGCTGAGAGATTTGATTCTGGCCAACATGTGTTAGTGCCAGACCTTTAAAAGTACACTTATGTAGTAAATGGCAAATGGCGTTTCATTGTGGTTTTAATTTGCATTTCCCTGGTTACTACCCAGATTGAGGTTCTTTTCTTGTATTTACTGGCCATTCAAGTTTCCCTTGATTGAGCGCGGCTTCAATTATTTTGCTTATTTTTCAGTTGAGCTATTGGTCTTTCTTACTGATTTGCAGTATCTTTATTATGTGTATTAGTCTCTATGAGCAGATAAGTTTTAGATATGTTATCTCAGTTTTTGGCTAGGGTTTTCCATTCTTTTATTGCATTTTTTTTTAAACTTTGTTGTGGAAATTTCAAGCATATATGCGAGTCGAGAGGAGGGTGGTGAACCAGACCACGTTCCCACATCCAGCTTCAACAGTTAGTGTCGTGGGTCAGTCTTCTTTGTTTCATCTCCACCCCGTACCCTCCTCCTCCCTGGAGCAAATACCAGATGTCATTTCATGTGTAGCTATTTCAGTGTGTAACTCTAAAAGGTAAGGCTCTCTCTTTCTTAAAAATCACATTTACCATTCTGTTGTCACACCTAAGAAAAATACACAGTTCCTTAACCTCGTCAAATATCTAGGCAGAGTTTGTGTTTCCCCAGTTTTTCTACTTTATTTATGTATGCGCGCACGCACACACACACAGTGTATTCGAATCAGGATCTTTTAGTTGCTTAATTTTAATGCTGTCAAATTATTCGATCTTTTCCTTTATGGATTGTATTTTTATCCCTTGTTCAAGAAATCTTTCCCTTTTCTGAGTCACGAAGATGTTTTTAAAGTTCTGCATTTTACGCCATAGTCTTTGTTCTACTAACTGATTTTGTGTATTACTGTCAGGCCTGAGTCCTGATGTCATTTTCCATTTGGATAACCAGTTGTCCCATCTCTCTTGTTAAAAGTGTATTCTTTTCCTAATGAAGTGTTGTATTGATAAGAAGAGGGGTTTATTAAAAGGGCCCAGGGCGTCCTGAAGAGTGATCCAATGAGGAGTAAAAGCAGGTAAATCTGTAAGAAGGCGGGCTTAAGAGAAGCCAGGCCGCCGTCTGTACGTTTCACAGCTGCTGTGACCGGGTCCCGGGGGCTGACTCGCCGCTGCTCTCCTGTTGCTCAGGTACGGCTATAACTGTGTCATCTACGGCTGGGACCCCACCTGCATGATGGGACACGAGTGGATCCGAAACATGAACGTCCACAGCCTGCCCCACGGCCACCACCAGCCCTTCTACAACGTTCTGGTGGAGGACGGTTCTTGTAGATACGCAGCCCAAGGTAAGTAGTCAGTCCTGCGTGCGCTTGTAAGCACACGTGTGAGCGCTCGGACGCTGCGGACGCAGGTCACCGGTTTGTTCAGAGATGGCTGTCGTCCCACGGCTAACCTCATCAGGGCTGATGCTCAGCGCGGCTGTCCCACGGGTTAACCAGTTGCCACCTCAGGGCCTCTCCCTCAGCCACCACCACAGCTGGGACCTTCTTCTGAGCTGCTGCCGACCTCTGTTCTGATTGGTCATTGCCCCTGCCAGTCAGATTCCCAGAAGTGCGGGCACTGCCGCTGGCTCCCTCCAGGCAAGGAGGGCCGGCTTGTGCCCTGCTCACACCTCCTGCCTGAACCGGGGGCACCGACGAGGCACTTGGGGGAGCCACCCTAGCACCTAGCACCCTGGAACTGGCAGCTGGCTGTGCTCCCCTAGAGACGCCCTCGAGTGGCCACTGTGGGAACTGCAGTCCACAGCACTGGCTCTGAGAGCACCTGGGAGAGTCACCAGGTGCTTGGTAGGTGTTTGGGGTCGCTGCCAGCCCTGACAGGTTTCCTGAGGCAGAGAGGGATGGAGCCTGTGAAGGCAGGTTAGAGACAAATGCCTTCAGTGTTTGCCTCTTTGTCCCTCCATTTAATGGGATGAGTTTATTGCATGCCTGCCTGTCAGGGCATTCACTATGTTCACTGTGTTGATAAAAATGAACACAAATGTCAACATCTGCTGCTCTGTGACAGGCAGCATTCTAGTGTCTATGAACTGTACTTGAGAACTATAATTACTGTCATCATCATACTCAGTTGATACATGAGGAAACTGAGGCACGCAGAGACGTTTAAGTTCTAACTTACAGAGTGTCATCCAGGCAGCTTGGCAAAGAACCTTCCCCGTAACCGTCATCTGCATCTTTTTGTGTCTGACCTAAAACATCACATTTGACCTAACTCAGTATTATGTTCTGGTAAATCCAATAATAGAAATGGTAGTTGTATAAAAATCTCAGAAGTATCAAAAAGAATAGAAGATGTTTTGTATTAATTATTGTTAATTCATCAGAAGCCGAGAGAGGATGATACACCAGAGAAATTCTCTGAATTGAGACTACAGATCACTTAATCTCCATCAGTACAGGGGAAGGTTACAGGAGGGGGTTGGTGTGCGCCCCGAGTCAGACGAAGGCGCTTCCAGTGATTTTATTTAACTCTTGAAGCTGTGTCAAGTTAAAAAAATATACTAACAAATTTTAAAAATCAACAAGTTATTTGGAAATTACTGAATGATCCGTGGACTGTTTGCACCCCCACTAACCGCCTGATAAGCATTTCACACTGCACGTTCCGGGCGAGTGTATCACAGGAACAGAGGAAACTGTCTTGTCATCACGGCAGGCCAGTGTCTGTGGCTTCCTCTTGTACCTTTGTTGTCCACGACATAGGGTTGATATCAAGACTTTCAGTATTTGATATTTGAGTTTCCAGAAATTATATTTAAAATGGGCTTTTGAGAGTAGGTAAAACTGGGTATTGGTTTCACATGTTCTGAATTTGTCCGATGTCCACGCTGAAGGTTCCGGAATACCCCCTAAGTGTGTCTTAAGTCACTGTGCGATGTAAGTTGTAGTCAGAATACTGTAATGACTTCATTAAAAACACTTTAATATGTGGTTGTCGGTTTCACACCCTCTGAAGTGGAGATTGTACCAAGTGATCATGGGTAATGTCAGCAAATTGCCTTTTCTTAAGTTTAAATTCTGAAACTTGTAGAAAATTCTTAGAGCTGGACAGCGGGTGAGACGCCGTGATGACTCACTCTTTCTGCTGGCAGTTTCTGCACAGGGTCAGTGTCTCGTGGGCCTTTGTGTGCCCAGCAGGTGCTGGGCTCTGTTCTCGACACCCTGGGGCTCACACACCTGGGGCTCACCTTCGCTTCTCTGGCCTTGTTAACTGTTTACCTGCTGGTGACTCTCAAAGCCTTATTTCCATCCCCAGCTCTTCCTGGGCCCAAGCCCACCTCTCCAGCAGCCCCTGGGCGTCGGCCCATGGAGGCACTCGGCTGTTCTTCCAGTATCTGGAGTGTTCTTAGCTGAACCCATGGTTCCCCTCCCGCGTCTGCACCCCATCCTGCTCCTGCCAGTCTCCTCTCATGGCACCCTGCCTGGCCCCGGCTCCTTCTGTGCCTCCCCTCCCCTCCTCCAGCTCGTCAGCAAGCCAGGCTGATTCTGTGTCTGAATGTCTGTCTCACACGTTTCCATCCATGTCGCCCTGCCCCTCTGTGGGCCACAGATATCTCTTGCCTGTATTGTTCTAGGCTATCTAAATTATATAGAGATTTTAGTTTTTTGCTGAATGACTTGAAAGAATGTTGCAGACAACATGACCTAAACACTTCATCTTGCATCTTCTGAGAGTAAGGCCGTTTCTCTGCCTTACCACAGTTACATCATTATACCTAACAAATAAAAATTATGTCATAATATCTAATATTTAGTTGGTATTCAGATTTCCCAGTTGTCACGAGAATAACTTTGTAAGTGTGTGTTTATTCATTTTTAAGTCACGATGCAGCCAGCATTCGTGCACTGCCTTTGGTGATTATATCTCTTCAGTCTCTCTTGGTAAAGGACAGTTCCTCATTTCTCATCTTTTTTTCTTTCTCACAAGAGTTTGACTTTTTGAAGAGTCCAGGCTGATATCTTGTACATTGTCTAACATTCTGGATTTGTCTTACGGTTTCTTTATCTGTGTGTCATTTGTAAACCAGAAGTTACGCCGGAGTCAGGTTAGTGTTTGGGGCCGAGTGCTTGCTCTCAAGGGCTGTGTGCTTCACTTGCAACACCCAGAGGCTGTACGGGTCAACGTCCCACTACTGGTGAGGTGGCGTGTGGTCACTTGGCTAAGATGGTGATCTTAGGGGACAGTGTCCCTCTGCAGTTAACAAGAAATCCATGGGATCAAACTGTGACATCCTGGGTATACCCTGTTCCCCATTAACCTTTATCCTCATGTTTGTTTCAGCACCTATTGGCTCTTCTTACCCAAATCATGATATGACAATTTTAACTGGTGATTTTCTGCTCCTAGTTGACCCTCCCGCTCAAAACACGAGCTTTGTTCCCCCTTCTTCCCTCCCCCTCCCCTCCCTCCCGCCTCTCCATCCTCCTCCCGCTCCTCCCCTCCCTTATTCCTCCCCTCCCTCCCCCCTTCCCTCCTTTGCTCTCTCTCTCTCTCCCTTTCTTCCCCCCTTCCCCCTCCCAGAGAATCCCAGGTTTTTTGCTTAGTGTGTTATAATCATTGGGAACAATTTTATGCTCAAATTAGCCTACGTTTAGCCAGTGGGAGACCTTGAGAGGCTAAATTTTAAAAGCACGAATTTAACTCTGTTTTTGAACACTTCTTGGTTAATATATTTGAATTAAGTTATTTGGTTTTTAAACTTTTTTTTGATTTAAATTTTCAACCTTTGGCTCCAGTGATCCTAGGAACCTGGGTCAGGCCCATTAGTGAATGCTTTCTGTTTATTTGTTCTGCACAGAGTTGCAGAGTGAATTATAAACCACGCCCGTGTGTGCCATCTTCAGACAGTTTTAGTCTGCACAGTTAAGAGGCGTATTCCCTCAGTATGTTAACAGGCTGTACAGCATTTTGTGTGTTTATATTTTTGTTCCCACTAGGGGGCAGGCTTTAGTGTTTTCTTGGTACCAGGTCAGAGAGCAGCAACTCCTGTCTGAACTTCCCTGCCTACTTCTTAGATACTTAAGACACGGCAGAAAAATGGGTATCACTGCTCTGAATTTAAGCCAGCTGCCCGGATTGGAAGAGCAGGAATCCGGTTGTGGTATGAGAACCCCGTTCTTAAACGTGTCTCGTGTATGATGATAAAGCATCTGGTTGCCTGCATGGGCCGTGGGGCACCTTCACCCAGCATTAGCTTCCTTTTCCATAGTTTGTCTCCCACTTCCAAACTGAGGTTCCTACCACACACACGCCCACACGCACGGTCCGTGGCAGTCTGCACATGCTGGCGCGCGTGGGAGGGTTCCCTGCACCAGTGCTGAGGTGTACGGTTTCAGGCGTGTTCACAAGGCAGCTCTGTTCTGTCTTCTCAATTGTCAGAATCTCAGGTGCTCGTTCTCTCTGACCCAGCAGCTCCCCTCCTCGGCTTCTCCTCGGTCCCTCCACTGAAGACACACTCACGCAGGAGGCCTGTGGTCCTTTTGTTATGACAGCAAAATGGTGTCATTCATAGGACTATCTGATAAATTGGGGCATATCCAAAACGTGGACACGAAGCTGCAACTGAATAAACCAGTTGCCAGTAAATGCTTCCTGTGTGGTTAGTATGAATAAACAGATATAAAACAATACAGTATTTTCTCTATGAATAAACACATTATCAACAACGCAGAGCTTTGGGTGCATGTAGTTAGCAGCATACATGTGTGTTCACAGACGAAGGACTAGAGAGAGGGACTCACACTGACAGTGGCTTCCTCTTGGGGGATGTCAGGTGCCCCCACAGGACCCTTGGGTACTGTTCCCAGGGTCCCACAGGAATGTGTTCATCTATTTTGGGGTAGCTGAAAATTTTAAATAAGCAGACACATTTCTCAGAAAATTTCCGGGGAATCAGAAAATCTTCTCAGGATTTTTCCAGGACTTTTAAGTAGTCCCTGTTTAATATTTCACCCAATTAAGGTTTTTAGCACTTAGATTTCTCACTCCTCTCCAAGCAAAACATTTTTTAAACCTTATTTAGTGGATTTGGAATTATTGTCCCCTCATAAGATGATGTTGCCAACTTTAGTGTCTTATTTCAACCTTTAAATTTTTTCTCTTATTAATACATTTTCCCATTTTGCCGGGAGCCCAGGCAGATAAACACACTGAATTCAGGCTTTGTTCCTCGTTAGCAGCCAGGAGCGGGGCCCTGAGCACCCTGCTGGCCTGTCACTACCTGTTTCCTGGTTTCTCTGACGTTCCGTCCGTACTTTTCATGACTCTTGTTTTGGGCCCACCTTCAGAATTCTGTGCCGCAGCTGCCCCGTGATGGTGTCCTTACAGGCGCGTGATCGCAGCCTGACTGCGACCTTTCTGCCCTCCTGGCGACACTCAGACGCCAAGGATTAGCCAACACAAAGCTGCTGCTTAACAATGCAGAGAAGGGGAGAGAGATGGGGAGAGAGGCGGGACTGGAGCATGTCTGACTCTCTTCAGAGCAGGTGCTGGCCACATGTTGGTCTATGGTCTAGACAGCTCTTTGTTGAGGGAGTCCTGGGCACTGGTTTGGGGGCCGCCAGGTCTCTGCCCACATGATACCAGTCCCCTGATTGTGACAACCAAAAATGTCTTCAGACATTGCAGGGCAGAACTGCTCCCAGTTGAGAGCCACAGGGACTTTTATCTCTTGGTGGTAATCCCAGATTCTCTGCCCTCCCTCCAATATCTTTACAAATATGTTTGTGAATATCCTTGCGTGCCTCGGCAAGGCAAGAAAAGCTGCCGGTTGAGGCCCCAGGCCGCGGTTGTGGAACCCCTGAGCGTCCCCCAGGGAGGTGTGTCTGTGACAGGTCGCTCACTGCGGGGGGTGGGGGCAGTGAGTGGGATTTTGTCAGCCAGTGGCATTTTGAAATATCTGAGGGTTTTTTGTTTTGTTTGTACACTTACTGATTTTTCCAATTAAAACATCAGAAACATGTAAAACATGAAGAAATGAAATCATCTCTGGAGCCCTAGTGAAACAGCAGAGAAAGACATCAGAGTCAGCAGACCCTTAGTTTCCTTTTGAAACCCCCTGGATCCTGTTGGCAGAGTGTGTGCCCTCCAGGCTGTCCCAGCCCCTCCTTCCTGCCCCTGCCTCTCCTGGCCGTGCCCGGTGAGGGTCTCTTCATCTGGACCTGGACTATCTGGGTTTGAGCCCTGGCTGGATCCTTGGGCAGGGTCCTCACTCTGTGCTGCCGTCTGCTCTGCTGCAGAAGGGCATCCTGATGGGAGCTTCTGATGGAGTGATGTGCGTGTTCCGTGAGCTGAGCCCGTGTGGGGACCGCAGGGTCTGGCGCACCGGGCATGCCCAGTTTAAAAGAATCCGTTTAATGTGTGTAGGTGCGCTGTGCCATGTAGCACCGCAGATATGTGGCCTTCCGGACTTTTTGTAAGTAGTGTATGTTTTTATCCCCACCTCCCTTGTGGCATCGTGAACACAGGTTGCTCATTATCCTGGCTGCAGAGTATTTTGCTGAATTAACATGCCATCATTTATTTACACAGTGACCTGCAGTTGGACATTTAGACTGTTAGGATTTTTTGCTGTCCTAAGCAATGTTCCTAAGCGATGCTAAGGTGATCTCTGAGCATTTGTCTTTGCACATGATTTGTGTGTGATTCCCTTAGCAGTATTTCTCAGACTGATAGATCCCCACCATACATAGTCTGAAGAAACAACTTAAAACCACTGTCAGCACAAAATTAGTTTCAGTCCTCCCATCTTGTGGTAAAGTTACAGATTGAATTACAGACTCCGTCTCCCAAAAGCCAAGCCTGTCAGTGCCTGAAAGGTGCTCGTGTTTATCCAGTGGGAGTTATACTCTGGGATGCAGGGCCTCCAGGTGGAGGGCACTGAAGGTCTTGAATTTGCATTTCGAGATGTTAATGAACTAAGAGGTAACCTGCTGCCTGCTAGTGTTCTTTAGCCCGTCAGCTAGGCTTTTTTTTTTTTCTCCTCACTTTTTTTTTTAACATATTTTTATTGAGTTATAGTCATTTTACAATGTTGTATCAAATTTCCGTCGGCTAGGCTTGTGCAGAGACTCACTGAGTTGATTTTGGCGATCGGCTGTGCTCAGTGCGGCTTCACGTTGCTCGAATCTAAGCGTGCCCTGGGACGCAGTCAGAGCAGGGAGGGGCTGCCTGACCAGCTCCTTTCTGGTCCAGGTCGTGGAGGACGAGGTTGGCTTCTCCTGGGTGGAGGCCCACACCCGGTCTAGGACCAGGCCTCTGTGCCAGTTGAGGAAGGGCCCCCAAGACTCCGTCCTTCCATTGGGCCCATGAAGGAGCTGTTTTTCAAATAGTTTTGCAGGGAGAAGCCATCTTAAAGGATTTGGGCCTTTAAAATACATCGCATGTATTATCACCACTTTTTTTTTAATCATTCCATTTTAAAGGAGTCTGATTTTCTCTTGCTTTCTCTAGTGGCAGAAGAGAGAGCAGGGAGAAGGAGGTAGCGTGGTTTTCTTAAGAGGTGATCAAATGCCATAGCCTGTATCCGTGTGGGGTGTGGAGGTGCGAGCCACTTCTCCATTCTCTCGTGGGATCCCATTGCAGCCCTGGGGAAGCAGCAGCCAGTACTGGGGGGCGTTCGGGGTGGGTGAGGGAGCGGTGCACGTAGGTACGAGACTTGTGGCCGGGTGGTGTGGAGGTTTCGGAAGCTTACCCACTGGTGAGAACCAAGCAGGCTAGGACACTCTTGTCCCAAACACTTGGCTGTGTGTTAGATCGAGTCAGAGCAACACGCTGAGTCCCAAGTGTGCAGACCCCCTGAGAGGCAGTGGGTTTTGCTGGAGCCAAATGTCTTAGTCAGAGAAAAGGAAAACACTTGTGTTCCGTGTGGAGCACTTCCTCCCTCCGTCCCCCAGTGGTCACTCACTCGCCACCTTTTCCCGCTCCCTCCTCCATCTTCCATCAACATCTGTCCTTCCTTTTCCCCACCTCAAAAATGCACTCAAAAGGGGGTGACAGGAAATTCTCTGGGTGAAAGGTGCTGCAGAAACACCAGTTTTAATGAGAATGCCTATGTGCCTCTCTGCCAACAGAGAACTTGGAGTATAACGTGGAGCCTCAGGAAATCTCGCACCCCGATGTCGGACGCTATTTCTCAGAGTTTACCGGCACGCACTACATCCCAAACGCAGAGCTGGAAATCCGGTACCCAGAAGATCTGGAGTCTGTCTATGAGACGGTGCAGAATATTTACAGTGCAAAGAAGGAGAACGTGGAGTAGAGTCTAGTGGGGACGTTGCACCTTTGCTGCTGCTGCTATTGTCCAGGAGAACAGGACCCCGGACGGAGACGTCCCCACGGGCCCCTCTGGATTCACACCACTGGGAAAGCCCCTTAACCAGTAGTGCTGGTTGCCTCCTACTACGTTCAACTCACGTGTGCTCTCCTCCAGCTGCAAAGACAGTGTTGCTCTCCGCCTACACTAGTGATTCATTGAAAGGCACTGTGTGCAGTGGCATGGCTTGTATGCTCGTCCTGTGGTGACAGTTGGTGACATTCTGTCTTCATGATGTCTCACAGTCGACACCCTTCTGATCACTCTTTTCCTCCCCTCTCCATTATGTCTGTCTGCATCGTCTCGGACGTTTCGTTTGCTGGACAGGTGGGCTCGTACGTCCGCATCATTTCTTTCTGATTTCTCTGTGGATCGTTTTCGCTTCCGAGTCAGGGTTGTCTGTCTTCTCGTCCTGAATTGAGTGCTTATTCAGAGGGGAGGCTGGAAGTGATCTCAGCAGCATCTTGGATCTGGAGTCATTAACAAATTAATGGTAATCAGAATCGTTTGAATTTCTTTCTTTCTAACTTTTGACACAGATTTCAGGCATTTTATCTCTTTATTTGGATGGAGAGAATGACACCATTTCCCTGTCCGGAGTCATCTCTTGGATTTGTGCTCAGATCTCCACGAATCATTAGTTTTCTATTTTATTACATAAAATTCTTGGAGAAAGTGCATAATAATAGCCTTCGTGAATGGGCTTTTCCATATTCATCTATTCCTCCCTTTAAAATAAGTGTATGTGTTTTTTTTTTATTTTAAAAATCTACTCCAGTAACATAAATAGATCTTAAGTCAGCGGTGGGTTCTCTTTATAGTAGGAAGTACACTCTGATGTTAAAATGTCTGCTTTTGGAAACCATACTCTGTGATCTCCAAAGACCTAAAAAAGAGGTTTCACATTTATAGTCAGAAAAAAAGAAGTAATGAACCTTAAAAATCTTTAAAAAGGGCAAGTTTCATGCCCCCTGTCCTTCCTTAGAATCACTTCAAGACCTTCTTGAATGTGGCAGGGTAGAAATAAGTGGAGTCTCTCCAATTTGAAGAATGTTGGAGCAGCGGGAAAGGAGACAAGCGTGCGCCCTGCTTTCTCCAGTCACCACGAAAGCATCAGGAGGAAGTCTGAGCCCCCCGGGGAGGTCCGGCTTCGTATCAGGTACCACTGGCGGGGGTGAAGGTACTGAGTCCTTGTGCGGCTCTGAGTTCCCACCATTCTCAACCTGCCAGTTCTCCAGAGGGCTGGTCTCGTAGTTAACCAGTAGAAGCTAACTTGTGGAGTTAGGACCTAGTTATTTTACTCTCTAAGCTTGAAAGAGTCCAATGGCTCTAGTGAATGAGGCTTTTGGGGGCTGTGGTCCAGTCGTGCCTCACTGCCTGTCTGTCCGTTTGCATGCAGTATTTTCACACCGTGTTTGACGACTGCCTCTCGTTTACCCTTTGGAGACCCTGGGCTGACCGAGGTCTGGGGCGGCCACCTAAGACCACTTACTAGCTCGTGACAGCTGTTGAGCGGTTATTAGAAGGAGATGAGGATTTGGCTAGCCAGCTCCCTCCAGCCCAGATCGGCTGTGGTCCAGGGTCCGTGTTCCTGTCAGTCCAATCCAAAGTCAGATGATTTGGACTCAACATTTGAAGTTGTGACCACTCACGACACCCAGCCTGCCTGTGGCTAGGGGGTTTTACACTACCCTCATTTAAAGGTGAAAATTAGATACCATGGCATTAATATTAATGAAATGCATTACTAGGAATCTGTGGAGCATGCTGAGAGTTATAATCGTTGGTTTTCTCGTTTGATTTCCTTTTTTCTTAGAGTAACATCAAAGCCAAGAAAGATGGTTTTACCTTTACTGACCCAATGTAAATATGTATCTAGACTGTTTTTAAATGTGTTTCTTCATGAATGCTTCATTTGGCTCCGGGAAGCCTGTGTCACCTGTGTCAGTTGGTATTTGGGCACTTTATATTTTTCTAAAAACGTGTTTTGGATCCTGTACTCTAATAAATCATAAGTTTCTTTTTAAAAATTTTCCAAACATTTTCTCCATTTTAAAAAGCCCTGTTATAAAAGTAGAACTTTCACAATGTTGAAATATTAAATATTTGGATATAGTAACTTCTTTCCTCTTCAAATGAATGCCAAGATTTTTTTGTACAATGATTAATAAATGGAACTTATCCAGAGAAACCACACAAATGGCCTGCCGGATTTCGTTCCAGAACAGAAAGCCCAGCCGTGACAACCACAGAATCTCTGTCACTTCTCATTCTGATTGAAATACGCAAAAATTTGCTCCCCTGAATTTTTCTTAACATTGATGAGTGAACAGGTTACCTTTCTTTATACTATGATTCCCCTGCCAAACATAGTTTTATGAGCTGGCTAGTGATCTTGAGAGTATCTGGTTTTAAAAGTGTAAAGATTGCAGCTTTTTGATCGTGTGGAGGTACGTGTTATAAAACATGCTGCAGATGCTCTGAGGGAACCTCAGGTTCCTGGTGTGTGTCAGTGCTGATGACCCCGCGGCCGCCTGACACACGGCTCGCCCAGAGCGTCCCGCAGAGCACTGTTTGTCCCCGCTGCCACACTTCCGACGCAGGAATAAAGGGTCGTGGCAAGTCACCTGTTTCCTGCACTGCAGTGTTTCTCAAAGCCTTTCATACAGTGTTGTACCTTGTGACCTCCCAAGAGGCACGTGCAGGGTGGTGTCTTCCTAATAACTTCTCAGACTCTGGAACTTTCCTCCCCCAGCACACCCACACACATCCTCGAGGCCCGGTGTTCGCAGACGTGCTTTGGGAAACGCTGTTGCAGTGAGACGTCAGTTATGTCCAGCGCTAGTCCACCTTACCAGCAAACCAGTTTTGCCAAGAATCTCGTTTGGAAACATTACCCATCTAATCGGCTTTTGAAAGGCTGGCTTCGTTATGTCGCTGCCTGAGCCTCGTAATAGTTCCCCATTCTAAGTGCGTTTACGCTGCAAAATCGTGTCACTGCAAAAACCAGTATTAATACTGTTTTACGTTTTCTAATTTCCACTTAAAGCCTTGTTCTGATTTTAAAACATCTCAGTCTTTCTTAACGTATTAAGCTGAGTCATGCTTTTATGTCCAAGGCTTTCGTCTGCTACCACCAGGTCCCTTTGCTATAAAGGGAAAATGCTTCTTTCCCTTAGACCATTTTCCAAGTGAGTGAAATTGGACTACCAGCAGCCTTTTCCTGGGAAACAATTATGGCCGTAATCATCAAGCTATAGTTCTTCAAGTTTTTGTTTGTTTTTTCGAGGGAAGGAGAGGCTGTTTACCTAGAAGAAATGCAGAATTTGGCTCTGTGACAGTTTGGTTTTGGAGACATTAACAGCATTGCATGTATTACTCTATTGCGTGCTTACTTCAAGCCAGGCACCGGCCTAAACTGTTTCTAATGCTCACAGCAAACCCTTTAAGATGTGGACCGGGCAGTGAATATTTCCATGGGCCCCACAAGGCCCCTGTCACATACTCTTCTTTGTTTTGAAAAACGTGAAAAATATTTTTAGCTCGAGGGCTGTGCAGACACAGGCCGCAGGCTGGGTCAGGCCGTAGGCTGAGGTCTGCTGCCCCCTGCTGAGGTGTCAGCTCGCCTAGCATTCTGTTGAGCGGATGGCTCGTAGGTGGGGAACCTGGCTGTGACCCCAGGGACCTGACCTCTGAGCTCCAGCTCCCCACAACCACACTGCCGAAAACCCCAGCAACTACCTCGCACATGTTTTTACCCTTTGCCTTGCTGCAGCCCCCTTAACTCCCAGCGTTTCGGTTCTGAAAATTGAGAGTCTTGAGAGAAAAGAACATTCCTTCGGTGAATAAAATTATGTGCAATTATAGAAGAAATGTATTATGGCCATTTAGCACTGATTGTATTAGGGTAATGCTAAATCTGTAATAAATAGACAAAAAACTGTATGATGGCTCATCCGCAGAAGAACTTTCTTGCTCACGTAGCAGCGGCCAGGGCGGGGGGTTGGCGCGCGGCCCTCACGCAGTCGCCGGAGACCGCGGCTCACCAGGTGTGGCCTCCCGGACCGTGTGCCGTCCGGCCGGAAGTCCAGCCGGAAGCGCGTGAGCGTGGAGGTCACGTCCGCGAGGGCGGGGCTGAGGCTGGGAGCAGCACCTACCACCTCCACTCTCCTTCCTGGAGGGAGACTGGGATGGAGGAGCGGGAACGAAGGTGGCTCTGGGTGTCCTCTTCCCCTGCAAGACATGCCCTGCCTCTGAAGCCAGGCTGGCCGAGCCGCCAGACACCACAGCATCCGCGGCTCCTGCCACAGCAGGACCACCCGGCAGCGGGGTTCCTGCCGGCCGCACTGCCATCTTAAGTCCACAGTCCCCGCACCAGACGGCCTGGGAGGAGGGAGCGGAGACCTCGCAGGGTGAGCCAGCACTCAAGTCACCGGCCCCCAGCCTAACTCCAGAGGAGGCTGGGTAGTGGCCTCTGGTGTGCCCGGGATGGGGAGAGGGGGACAGTGAAAGGTTTGGGGGCTCCACCTTGTCTGCGCCTCTCACCCACTTCCCGCGTCCTGCCCAGAGCTCGGTCTCTGCGGGGCTGTGCCATCCTCTCCGCCAGCCCAGCCTGGCTCCTCGGGGACGGGCCCTGTGACCTGAAAGAAGTTATCTGACCTTCCCCCCGTGCCCCCCTCCCAAGTCCTATTCACCAGTCAAGTAGAAACAGGACAACTGCAGGAGAAACTCTCACCTGGAAAAAGAATGGGACACACAGCAGGCCCCGGGCGCTGGCAGTGATGAAATATTTGCGCGGCAGGTGGGCATCGTGAAGACCCCTCCCCTGGGGGCGTGCGCGGAGGGTGACCACGCTCTCTGGGAGGAGCTCCCTGGTCCACTGCCTCCTGCATCCCGTCCTACCTGACCTTTGTGTCCCATTCTCTCTAGTTAGGGCACAGGTGGATGCTGGGGGTGTACCTGCCTACAAGCTGTGTCGCTTTCACAGCCCTGGTCCAAAACTTTCATTTGTTTTTACAACCTTTTGATCCCTCTGGCCAACAGTTCCCTCAGAAACTTAGCAGGCTACCAGCGCTAGTAATTGTGCCCAAGGTTATTTTCCAGAACTTCCAAGTTTGCTTTATTTCCTTGCTTCTCTGCCTGGTGCCTGTCCCTTCTTCCTGACCTAGTGGCGGCCGCCTTACTCTGATATTAGCCAAAGCTGAGTCTTTGTTTCACGGGCATCAACATAAGAGGCCCTGGGATTTCCGACTGTTCTGTATTAGTTATAAACCAGTCTGTTTTTGCCTGAGCATTCCCCCTTGCCCCCGCCTCATCATACCTTGCTATCAGCCGCAAAGTGCAACCAACACACTATATTCTGTGTCTCTAACAACTTCCCCTACACTCGTCATAGCAGCTCCACCTTACAAATTATAAGTGGCAATTAACCAAGTATAACCCACAGCACAGCCCTCCAGCCTCCCAGCCTGCAACCTGACTGCTAAGCTGACACTGTTATAATAGTTAAGGTTTTCAGCACAGCTGTTCTTTCAAGTGGTTTTTTGGTTTTGTTTTGTTTCGAAGTTCAAAGTGGGCTCGTTTTTCCATAGGAAGCTCTATTTCCTGGTTGGCTATACAAAAAAACAAAACCAAACCAAAAAAAAAAAAAAACCCTGAAGACAATGTCAAGTATTCTGGGGAATAGAAAGAGCTAAAGCCTGTTGCTTCATGAACTTAGGAAAAGCAGTTGTACAGAATCAGGAAAAATTTGGAGGGGAGAACCAGTTCATTATAGAATCCTTGGGTGGTTAGATAGAATTTCCATCTACTTCTCTTAAGATGACAGAATTCTGAATGGAAATGTTCATATTCACGCCAAATTGCGGGGTAAATTAGGACTTTGAGTAACAGTTGTGTTTCCTTTCTTCAGAACACTATCTTCCCAAGGTTGTAAAAGTCTCATCTCAAGTTCACGATGTGGCGATGGTCTCAGGCATGGCTGTGACTGTGCAGAAGGCTTTTCCCACAGTATCTCTTACCATCAGTAATCCCCCTGCTCCAGGATGCTTTTGAGATAGTTTTTTCCTAATCACTCTCACCCCATGAAATTGTTTTGACCTGTTTAAAATTGAGGTTTATCCATATAACATAAAATTAACCATGTTAAGCTGCACAAATCAGTGACAGCACATTCACAGTGTCATGCAAGCCCCACCTTTATGTGGAATGGAAACATTTGACGGCCCCCCCCAGTAAAACTCTGTTCCCTGAAGCAGTCACTCCCCATTCCCCACCCCTCCCAGCCCCACGCAGCCCCAATCTGCTTTCTGTCTCTATGGATTTGTCTATTCTGGGTATTTCATGGAAATGGAATCATACAACATATGGGCTTTTGTGACTGATTTCTTTGATGTAGCATCATGTTTCCAAGGGTCATCCACGTAGCATGAATCATACCTCAGTTCTTACTATGGCCAAATAATACTTATGGATAGACCACATTTTGTTTATCCATTCAGCTGTCGATGGACATTTGGTTGTTTCCAGCGTTCAGCCCTTGTGAATAGAGCTGCTACAACCTGCCGTGAAATTTTCCTGTCACGCTGTATATCCACTTACATATCGTGTATATATATATCTGTGCTTTATACATTAAAAGAGTGATCTTTTTTTTCACTCCCTCCAACAATTAGTTTTACGCTTTGGGGGCGGTACTGCCCCACTGAGAATTCAAGCCCCACCTGGGAGGAAGCCCTGGAAAGAGCTGCTGTCTGCCCCTTCCTGCTGGTTGACCACTGCTGACTCATCTCTGAGTGTCCTTTAACGTTCCCACTTTTGTGCCAGAAGCTGGAGTGAATCCAGAAGTACATTTCTTTCACCTACAACTGCTAGAAATGTATGTTCCAAAGCCCCTTTTTGATACGGATCGCGTAGTCTTTGCTTAGCATATTGATGACCTCAATCTCCTAGAACCTGTTTCTTTAAAAAAAGAAAAAAAAACCTGATTAGTTTGAGAGTTATTTGCCACTTATAAAAGTGGAATTGTTAACAGGTGTGGTGATAAGACTTTCTGGGTAACCGGCTACCTTCATTCGAAACCATTTCCTAAATTGTTTCCATAGAGAATTTGAAAGCCAAAGGGCCCCTTAAGGATCAGGTGCTGGAGCACACGTTCCTGACATTTTACAAAGAGAAATAATGAGGCCCATCGAGGTTAAAGTGACTTGATCTGGCGTGTGTCTCAGAGCAGACTGCAGCCTGGGCCTTCAGACTTGACCTCAGAAAATATCTTGCTAATAATATCACCCCTCATTATCTGGGATTCGGAACCTTGTTATTTCTCCATCAGCTACTGCGCTGTGGCAGGCTCCTGGCCACCGTCAGTCACTGTATTTCACTTACACTGACTTTGCTGGGGAAAATGAGGACGTGTTATCCCTCCCTCCCCATCCCAGCAACATGTGCTCTTAAAGTTTGGGGAACCCCTATCCCAAGGCTGCAAAGACTTTTTAAAGGAAGTTGCTTCCCCCACCACACACCCAGCTTTATTGAGATGTAATTGATATACTAAACTGCACATCATTCATATGTACGATTCGATGAGTTTGGAGACATGCATACACTGTGTTACCATCACCACAATCCAGGCAATAACATATCCATCGTCTCCAAAAGTTCCCGTGGGTCCCTTTGAGGTTTTTGTTTGGTTGGTTGGTTTGGGTTTTGTGGTAAGAGCATTCAACATGAGAGCTAGCCTCTTAATTTGTAAGGACAGAATACCTTACTGTTCACTGTAGGGACAGTGTTAAACAGCAGAGCTCCAGAACTTACTCATCTTTTATAACTCATTTGGAGTATTACTTCTTCTAAAGAAAGGGTTGGTAAACTTGTCCTAAAAATTGACAGATAGTAAATATTTTTGGCTTGCGGATTACTCACATCTGCCATCGGAGCAGGAAAGCAGTCAGGGACAATACGAAAATGAGTGAGCTTGACTGTGTGCCAATAAAACTTTATTTACAGAAACAGGCTGCCGGCTGGGTTAGGGCCTTAGGCTGTATTTGCTAACCCCTCCTGTAAAGTCCACGTGAACGTTTTTCTTTTAACGGACATCTAAGCGCAAGTAACCAAAAAGCTGAGAGAGTGGAAAAGTATACTGGAAACTCCTGTACCTTGCACCAGTGTTCAGAATGTTCTGTATTTTCTTCATCTCCCTCTCAATGTATAGACCTTTTTTTCTGAACCATCTGGAAGGGTCTCAAGCAGCCTGAGACTTTTCCCTAAGTGCTTCAGCATATATCTCCTAAGAAGGGCACTTTCCTACTTAACCACAATTCCAATCACACCTAAGCAAATTAATTCTAGTGAAGCAAAAAGTGCATCTTAAATTTGATGAAGTTGGCCGTTTCAGAACGACCAGCTTTATCATAAACTCTTAGACCTCTTCACTGTTCTCCAGCACACCCCAGCCCACAGCTTGGATCAATTAGGGTAGAAGCTGATAAAGAAAAACAGTTATAAATCCCTCAACACAAAATCTACTTGCCCAAGGTGAACCCTGCAGCTGCCGAAGAACAGGATAACTGCTATTTCAGGTAAAGCTGAGCTTCTGAAATGTTTTTTTCCTGCAGGTATAAAATTCAGTGGAAACAATTTTTTTTTAAGCATTTGCTACCCTCAAAGGAATGAATTGCTTACTTTTTCTAATCAGAGTTTAGCGGGGCCCACAGAATTAGTACCATGTCCCGATTTCCCCAGAGCTGGTACGCTGGGTCCCAGAGCCTCTGTCTTTACAAAGCGGTGCAGACCGGGGCTAGCAGGGTTCACTTACAAATTAGGCTCATGCACAGGGAATCTGGTTCCCTGATTTTTTAGTTATGTCTAAGATGTGAATTCAGTCGGCCGCATTGGCTAAGAAAACGCTTTGTGCTGAGATAGAAGATAAACCTAGATAAGGTAGGTCT